GGACATTATGGCAAAAAATGTATGCCTAGAAATTAAGCTGTTATTGAGTCATTAAAATCAATTAAAATGAATGTTACAAAATGGTAACAAAGTGACCAATGAAACTGATGCACAACTGGACCATGCTCAATGGGATGTCCATCATTCCCAATGACCATCAGAAACCAATAAGAGTTTAACAAGATGTAGAAACCTCCTGTGAAAAAACTTTATCAAGAATTGGAAACCATTTCTAAATAATGTAAAAAATTAAGAAGGAAAATAATAAATAGCAGGCCAGAAGGAATAATAGAAAAACAATATAATAAGAAGGAAGAATGGAACTATATATGAATGTCTCCATCCCAAGGACGGGAAGTCACTATGTTGAGAGGGGTGGAAGAAGGGGAGAGCATAACCAAATACAAATATTGCATATTGAAGTATTGTATTTGTTCATGCATATATACATGTATATAGATTTGTTTCACTGTTTTATGAATTTGTAAATTGAAAATAAAAAAACATATTAATCTCGAGAAAGAAAATGGATTTCAGGCATTCCTCACACATCTTCACAAATCAAGGTTTCTTAGCACCTTTCCTACTTAGCTATGTAACATAACAGGTCACATCATCATCATCATCACTAATTCCCAGAAGATAGATAACACAAACTTCAAAATTTATACACTTCAAGTTAACAGGTGTATATGAACTTAAAAAATGACGTGTTAGTGAATTTTTATTCTTGCATACACAAGCAAAAATTGCAGGGGCATAGGTACAACCATAAATTTGGAATTGTTCCCAAGGGTCATGTCCCATTAATGTAGGAACTCACATCTAAATCATTTCTGACAGGCACCCAACAAAGTTCTGTTCAGAAATCTCCAATGGCTCTCTCCCTAAACATATGCACAATTCCTTGATGATTTGTCTCTGCATCTCATATATGCTCCTTTTAATATTTGATCGCATTTGAAAATATCTTATGCATCTATCGTGGGTTTTTTAGACCCATCTCACTTTTATTTCTTGTCAGAATTGCTTGCTATTGTGCTATCAGTTTCTGACCCTCAAGAAAGTCCCATCCATCTTGGATGTCTTTCCCTTTTAGTATTCTGATCATAGATTCATAAATTTCAAAGATGCTAATATACCATCTTAAGAAATCTGGGGCTGGTTATGCATGTGATGAAGAGGGAAGCAAAACATTAGAAGTTGGTGGAAATCTTTTGTTGAATCTCCTGTCAAATCTTTGTATGAGAGGAATCATCTGCTGCTAAAGAGAGGGAGAGAGAGAGTACTAGCCTCATGGCATCATTTACTGTTGACTTCCTATTCCTGTACATGGGGACATACAGTAGCCAAGACAGAAAGAGCCACCTTCTTGAAAGAACAGTAAGAAAGGGAGCCTAGCTCAATTGTCTTGTATGCTGATTTCCTAGTACAGGCAATCCCCAAGTTACAAACATCAGACTTACAAATGACTAATAGTTAAGAACAGGAGTGGGACAACAGAAAGAGTGAAATCAACCCCTCGGAAGGGAAATTCACTACTGAAAGAGTTATCATGGAAAAAAGGTTCCTCAACTGAACCTTTATCACCAATCCTTGTTTCCACAATAAGCCACATTTTTCAAAATCCAGTTATCACAGGGACAGAAAGCGAAGTGAAATCTTCTGAACAGGAACACACACAGCAAGACAAACACCACAGGGGTGTTAACCCTATCCTATCCAAAGCTTATATGTACCTTTTATTTTTTTTATTTTTTTATTTACAGTATTTATATACCGCCTTTCTCACCCCTGGGGGGAGTCAAAAATGTACCTGTTCCGGCTTACATGCAAATTCAACTTAAGAACAAAACCTATCTTGTTCATAACTTGGGGACTGCCTGTAGTAGGATTTCTTCCATTTGAATGAAATTCTTTAGCTTTGTGTGGAATTCACAGTGGGGTCTGGAAACTTGGCAGGAAACCTAGATCCCAGTATTAGAGAGAGATAATCTGATGTAATTCCACATCAGGCTATTGTCCACCCTAGCCAAAACTATTCAATCTTATAATCTTGGGGTTTTTTGTAATCCCCTACCCAGATTTCCTTTCAGCTTCTGTGTTCTCCTTCCTTCTCCCACAAGTATCATTGCGTCAGGTTTCTTGTTTCCTAGTTACAACCCAGTCTGTTCATCTTCAAATTGGCATCAGGATGCATGTGATTCTGTGTCTCCATGCATGGAACTAATGTTCCAGGGGATAAATCCACACATCACATAAGACATAGATTAAATTAAAAGGGCTGTTAAAAATTACATGGTGATTCTAAAAAGTAGGGTTTTTTAAATTTTCCTTTTTAGATATAATTTCTCAGAATCAGGGATAAAATTGCTTAGGAACCAGAAAATTGGTTTGGAACCTTTTTAATTAAAGAGGCCAAATGTACCATCAGACCAGGATGACATAAATCAAATTAAGCATGGTGGAAATGTGGTTGAGGCTGTCATAGTTTAGAACTGAGCTCACATTCCCTTGTGCACATAAGGCACTGCATCCCCTTGCAGAATTCCCTTTGACATTGTATCTCGCGGAAAAGAATTTGCTTTTTGCCAGCTTTCAAGATTTTCTCTTGTTCCTACACTTACAAATTTAAAGCATAGATCCAGACCATGGACAAATAACAAATAAATCTTTTTGTTGAGGGAGATGTTATATAAAAACAAATTATTCCTTCTTTTCCTGAGCAATATATTGAATATTTTTTACTACACCAAATAAATGTTCATATCTTTCCTTTGAAACAGTTTATATGATTCCTGAGATTGCATCCAGTTTTAGATTGGGTTAACAGAATCAGACTTCTCCATCAACTCTACAGAGATCTCATCCAGAATGCCCAAAGGTCTTGGTGAATGTCCTAATTTTACTTGTTATGATTCTAAAACACGCACTGCATAATCCCACATGGTACATTTTTCATGAATTTCTGGGACTAGCTGCAGTGTTTTAAAACTCAGGGCAGGGGGGGGGGGGTCTGTCCCAAAATTTTCCGATACAGACATAGAATTTCTTTTGCATCTGTATCAATTGTCTTGGTTCATCCAGAGATCCCAGTGATGAAGTGTTGAATGGAGGTGTTACCTTTGCCATGGAAATTTTCCTCTTACCTTCCTTCTCTCATTACATTTCCAGTTACCAGGTTGAACTTCTTTTCTTTCTTCTGCTATTATAACAAAAATATATAACAAGGGAGAAGCGCTGGTGAAAGTGTTGAGTTTGTAGAAGGAAACATAGTTAACCACTCCTCAAGCAAAAATAAAAGAGTGGATGAAACCCAAATATATGTACAGCATGACTGCATGTGGAAGCAAGAACAACCATTACAAAGCCAGAAATAGACAGAAACAGAGTAGCAGAGGGTCCAGAGATCTTGCTAAATGAAGTAAGCTGTAGGACAAAGTGGACAGTTCCCTGAAAACGTTCTTTGACCAAAAGCTTCCCACACTGATGCCTGGTCTATATTATGATGGTTTCATTGCTGACCGCATTCCATTACAGAAATCTTACTTACACTTTAGCATGTGGTTTTCTACTTTGGGTTCTGTTCCAATTTTTGCCACTTATAGCCAATTTTGATTGCATTGCAGTATATGGTGCTCTGTGTGCCCTTGTATTTGTAACTGTTTAACAGTACATAATTTGTTTCCATCGTCAACGTGGCACCCTTTTTCATGTTAGCTCATTCATCTTGAAAAATACAAAATGAAATAGAGTACATAAGTTAGGCAACTGGCTTTTAATAGGAAAAGGAAGGGTAAAATTTGTTTTCATGACAGAGAGTCTTTGATGTCTACTCTATATAAAAACTACAGTTTCACTGCAAATTTAGGAACAAGGGGCCCCAGATGAGTAATCAGGGCTACAGAGTTTAATCATTAATACATGGAAATATTTAGTGGATCAACATATTTGGGTCTCTGCTGATTCACAGCACCTACAGAAGTAGGAGTCCCCGGTGGTGCAATGGGTTAAACCCTTGTGCCGGCAGGACTGAAGACTGACAGGTTGGAGGTTCTAATCTGGGGAGAGCATGGATGAGCTCCCTCTGTCAGCTCCAGCTCCCCATGCAGGAACGCGAGAGAAGCCTCCCACAAGGATGGTAAAACATCAAAACATCCCCTGGGCAACATCCTTGCAGATGGCCAATTCTCTCACACTAGAAGCGACTTGCAGTTTCTCAAGTCGCTCCTAACACACACACAAAAATTACAGTAGTCTTCTTAAACCTGATGCCTACCTAAGGTCTTGGGCTGCAATTCTCATAATCATCAACCAGCAATCCAATGATTACTCCAGGGATTCAGAAAGGAGTTTTTCTTAGCCCTTCCTGGAAATACCAGGGAATAAACCTGGGATGTTTGGCATGCAAAGTATATGCTCTACTGCTGAGCTTTGGCCTGTTCAATGTATTGTCAAAGGCTTTCATGTCCAGAAACACTGGGTTGTTGTAGGTTTTTTGGGTTGTATGGCCATGTTCTAAAAGCATTCTCTCCTGATGTTTCACCTGCATCTATGGCAGGCATCCTCAGAGGTTGTGTGGTCTGAGGATGCCTGCCATAGATACAGGCGAAACATCAGGAGAGAATGCTTCTAGAGCATGGCCGTACAGCCCTCACAACCTCTGAGGATGCCTACCATAGATGCAGGTGAAATTCAGGAGAGAATGCTTCTAGAACATTGCCATACAATACAAAAAACTATAACAACCCTTTTGGCCTGTTCTCTTTATTTATTGAGGGATGTTTGAAATCATGGATATTAGCAACGCTGTTCTCATTATTTTTGTCTCGGTGCTTCTGAAACAGAATACAGAACAGTGGGAGGCCTTGGCGACTCAGATGGGTATTAATTGTATAAAGATTTGGTGGTTGTAGTACTGTGTATCTAGAGTTTTATAAGCAGTCTGTTTTAATTTCTCTCTTTCTCTCTGTTTTTTTTTCTTTTTGCTAATTATAAAGGCCTACTTGGCAAGTCCAGGACAAAGCAGATGCTAACAACGTGGCGTATACCACTGAGAAGCTAAGTTTTCACACCGACTATCCTGTTCTTCAATTTCCACCTGGGGTAAGACAAGGCAAACTGGAAGGAAAAGAGAAGGCAGCAGTCTTTTCAAGAGAGTAAAATTCTTACTTTTTAAAAAGTTATGTGCAATGCAGATGTCTGGTGAATAGAAACATGTTCAATATTTAAATTTTGAACTATCCTCATGTTGCAAGCTGAGGGAATAATTCTAGTGTGGTTTTTGGTAATCTAGTTTAATCTTTTTATGCTGCAACCTTAAATGGAAATCTCGAGAAAAGTCTCTTGCCTATTTATCAGCTTCCACAACCACCTACCAAATCCATGTGATCAAAGATTCACAAGAGTGTCTTCATTTTGTGTTAAATTTCCAGCAAACCCCAAGCAGTGCATATTGAGTAGTATGAACCATGTAACTTCAGGTGGAAATTATACTGGTTCCAAATTGTTTTTCAAGTAAACCAACATTCTTTGGCATGCCAAGCTCCAGATGTTTTGGAACACAACCTCCATCCACCCTAGTAAACTTGGTCAAGGACAATAAGGGTTATAATTCAAAACATACAGCAAGCATCCCTTTGGAGAAGTGTAAAGTAGACCTTCCAGGTCAGCTATGTAGTGCATGAACTCATTGCATAGCTATGAATGTACAGAAAGTACAGGAAAACCCTCAAACTCTCTCAGATAGATCTTATAGGAGTAAATTCATCATTTCTAGAGAAGCGCAAACATGAAAATGTATTTCAGTACAATGCTTTAATGAACTACTGAACTTCTGACACTGGTGACAATATTTCTACCATTCTGCCTGCCTTTGCAAAGACAAGTGATGAATGTGGTCAGCCCAAATGCTATAGGAAATTTTTGCTCAAGGCTCTCATGATCTGTAGCGATCAAATCATTAATGACCTGAGCAGGCCAGGATCATGTGCTGCTAAGTAGATGCCAGCAAATCTTTCAGACTAATGTGCTAACTTGAAAATTCATTTAGATTCTGTACAAGTGGATATGGCATGGGAATGGAGGGGTATTCCGCAAATTGGAAACAAATGCAACTTAGCTCACTGTCACATTTGTGCCAAGAATCACACTCTGCCATATGCTATTCTCAGTCTCTTCAATACTAACATGCTTGTAGGAAATAAAAATAGGTTTTAAAAAACATTTTGGAAGCAGTCTTCTCTCTACATGTTTCCTTTGCATGTTTGTCTTTAACTCTGTTTTTACTACAGTTTTCTGCAGCTTTACTAGGACAGCTCGCACAAAAAAAGAAAATGTGACTTCCAAAAATAAAAAGATTCTGATATGTATTGTCTTGCACAACCCTTTTGGAGGTTTATGTCCATTGTCATAATGTGCATCATTCTGTATCCCATTGCACTCTGATCCCAACTCTCGCAACAATTATTGTTGCTGTGTGTCTTCAAGCCATTTGTGACCTAAGGCAAACCTATCACATGTCTTCTTCATTCAGAGAATATTTGTCTTTGCCTACATCTGAAGTTGAGAGAATATGACATGCCCAAGGATAACCAGTGGGTTTCCATGGCTGAGCATAGATTTGAATCCTAATCTCCAGAATCATAGTCCAATAATCAAACAATTTGGCATTATTATTGTTCTCTTATCAGTGCAGCTGAAATAATGGATTGAAATCCACAAAAGTTCATACTGAAATAAATCAGTCTCAGAAGTACTGCTAGAGTCCTTTCCTCACTGCCACCATTTCCTATTTGTTGCAAATATAACATTGTGTCTCTGCAGATCTTGGTCCTAAGGCTTGCAAGGTCACATTGTTTTTCAGAGGCATCTTAAATTACATTTGTTTTGTTTTTTGGATGATCATCTGAAGATAAACAGACATTTAATTTGCTGGTGCCCATATCTCTATTTCATTGGGGAAGAAGAATGCATAGGGAAAACACAGCCCCTTAATGTCTGGCTTGACTTTTGCAAAGAGAAATGGTCAGCATTCCTCACAGTAGGCATGGCAAATGACCACTAGTGCCATTAAATCTTAAGGTACATTTAAAAATAGCTCTCTAACTCTCAATCAGGCATACACATATACATACAGCCTTCTTCCTCATAATTGGCCACAGTTGCATTTATAGTGCATCTACACTAAAAAAGTAATGCAGATTACCACCATTTTAACTGCTGTGCCTCAGTGCTGTGGAGTCATAGTTAAGACACCAGCACTCTGGCAGAGAACGTGAAATACTTTGTAAATCTACAAGTCCCATTGAACCATGCCTGTTAGTGGTGTCAGACTGCATTAGTTCTGCAATCTAGATGCACCCAGTCTTCCATCTCCTATTGTCACATAGACAAGACACATCTTTTTCCCAGAGGCACACCCAAACATATATTTCAACAATAAAGGATGGAGAGATATAAATGAACCCACGCACAACTTTGAGATCTATCAGCTTATCAAACTAGGAAGAATACAAGTGTGATGGTGAGATGATAATAGCACAAACCATGGAGTATTAGTGCACATTAAGGGCTTTCTTTGTGCTTTTATTTGGAATTGGTTGTCTGGCCACTGCAGTAAATGCTTCGTGTAGATGAGATTTCCACAACCTACTGCTCTTCAAATAAGTCCTTTGGCATTTGGATTGTTAAAGGGAACTAGGCCACAGAGAGAAAATTCTTCATTCTCCTCAACTCCATTGCATGCCCCACAGCCCATCAAATTGCTACATGCAATGAGTCAAATATACTTAATATGAGAAGAGACTGTGCATTATTTTTTTCTGTAAACTGTCTTCCCCAGATAAATGGTGCTCTGGAAAATTCAATTAGTCATGAGCCATAATATAATGGTATATATTGTAGGAATGTTTGGTATCTACATTAAGCAGAGTGCAGCAGGATTAATGCAACATGAGCTTGTGGTAGAAACAGAATAAATGTTTCTGTATGTACTTGTAGGGCAAAAAAAAAGAAAATCATGCATTTATAGTCTCAAGAAATCCATCTTAGGATAGGAAAGGAAATGGGCAAAAGTGGAGCTTTAATTGGTTACAAGAGCCCGTAAAAGCTGGCTGTCCTATTTGAGTGTAAGCAAGCATACCTTGCTGGAGCCTCATGGATGCTTCCTCTAGACCAGTGGTTCTCAACCTGTGGGTCCCCAGATGTTTTGGCCTTCAACTCTCAGAAATTCTAACAGCTAGTAAACTGGCTGGAATTTCTCGATGTAGGCCAAAATACCTGGGGACCCACAGGTTGAGAACCACTGCTCTAGAAAAAGGAAAACAAAGAGTAACTAATGTCTTGAGAGAAGGTGGAAGTGACATCTGCAGGTGAGAAGGAAGCAAAAGGCTTGAGCACATAGATCAAAAGAGCACATAGGGAGAAGTGAAAACAAAGGGCAGGCTTTATCTAAACTAATCACTAATTGTTTTTTTACAAGTGTTGATCCCTCTTTACCTTAAAACTATATCAGATGCTAGTTTCCCACATCTAAGCTAGATGAGTAACTGTTTTGTTGTTTGACTCAATGAAATATATTCTTCAAAGATAACAACAACAACAACAACAACTTTATTTTGGTATCCCACCTCTATCTCCCTGAAGGGACTCGGGATGGCTTACATGGGCACAAGCCCGATCAACATAGTTAAAATATCAACATAATTAAAATAGACACATAAAATAGACAGGTTTTTGAACAGAAATGCCTAGTACAGCCTTCCCTACTAACATGGTGGCCTCCAGATGTGCAAGACTGCAGCCACCTTGATCTCCTGGCTAGGGATCGTGGCAGTCGTCCCTAACACAGCTAAGTATCACAAAATAAGGGAAAACTAGCCAAATACCTCTGTATTAATGAGGCTAATTGGAATTTCCAGAAAGCAATTATCACTTGGTGGACTCCACGTTTTTCTGGAATAACTGCAAAAACTGTCTCAGGCATCTGTATAGTGTCCACCGGCAGTTCATTTCATTGCCCAAATTAGCTAGCTGTTTACTGCATGGAAATTGCCTCTCTCTTGCCAGAAAATTCTCAAAGTTATGTGCACTATGAATGCTTCATTTCTAGGGCAATATGCTTGTATTAATATATTATAACCATTGAGATCCAGCATAGTTTAGTGTTTGCAGTGTTAGACTACAACTCAAGAGCAAGGTTTGAATCCCTGCTCAGGCATGGAAACCCACTTGGTGACCATGCACAAATCACTACTTCAGAGGAAGGTAAAGATAAATCTCCTCTGAACAAACAATCAAGAAAACCCTATGACATATTTGCATTGTTGTAAGTCAGAAATGACTAGAAGCCATGCTATCTTAAATACTTGGAAGGTGAACTGGCTGTGCAAAGAACAGATCAGAGACTATATGGTTGAATCAAACAAGAATTCATTAACTGACAAGAATTTTAGACTTTCTCTCCTCCTGAGTCTTACTACAAAGTCTTTATGAGGAGAGGTAAAGTCTTTGAGAGATAGACACAATTCTGGCCGAACTGAGGTTCTTGAATCTTTATTTCTTCTTATTGTCTCTTTCTTGTATGGTGTTAATCTAAGATGGTTTCAATATTTAACTCTGACTGGACTTGAACACAGCTCATACAGCTCCAACTGGACATGCTATTTTGTAGACCCTCTGGCCCTCCTCTCTTCACCCTCCACTCACAAAAGGCAGACTCTTCCAAGAACCAGAAGTGCCTTGCCTGAGGCTTTGCCCCCGAGGTGATTATTAAAAAGGCAGGGCGATGGAGGCTTCAAATGCAAAGAAGCTGTCTAGACAGACCCCCAAGAAACTGTGCATAAAATATCAATCCCTCTAACTAAAGAGGGCTTAACTAGGGGTAAACAGTGAAGGTTTTCATGGGGCACAAAAGCCACAAAAATATCCAAATTATAACCATTTGCCAGTTGAGGTATTAGTAGGTTTGAAATAAGAGTTGTATATTGTCAAAATTGAAACTTGGAATGAAAATAGTACACTAATTTTTCGGACTGATGATGTACTTAGACTGGTTCCTGATATGACCCAGCATTAATTTTGTTACAGATTCAGTTGCTGCATTGTATAAAACAAACTCCTGCTGGAGGCGAGAGTGAAGTTGTGGATGGATTTCATGTAGCAAATAAGCTTAAGGAACTAAATCCTCAAGCCTTCAAAATCCTGACCTCCACCTTTGTAAATTTCACAGATGTTGGAGTTGATTACTGTGATTTCTCCATGGAATCCAAGCAAAGAATTATAAAGTAAGTAACAATTATAGTACTGACCAATAGCATCAGTTTATCACACTGATAGCACTGTCTAACCCTGAATTACAGACAGAAGATGCCTTTTTGAATGAAATAACAAAAAATGGTAGGTCTTTGCCTGCCATCATGTGGATGAGTGGGGAAAGACAGATTTTAAGAATTATATATATGCTGGATTTACTATATTGCAATACACATGCTTTTCATTTCTTCATTAGCAGATTTATCTTTTCTATATTGAATTCTGCCTTCTGTTAATAGATATCTTTTTAAAAATTCAGCATAATACTTTAAAGGAAGCCCTGTTTTAGGCTTGCAGATAATCTGTCAATGTTTTGTTGTTGTGTTGGTTATTTTTTTTAAAATGCTGACATTATTTTTCCCCACTCAAGATTAAATATAGGCATTTTTGTTAGGTCTTCACTAAAAAAAATGTGCCATACAAAATTTTTAGGCATCTGCATGGCAAATACAATAGCAACTGCAATTTCAAACATGCAGCAGAGGACCGTATTTGATATGCCTGCCTCATATCTATTTAAAGATAGCAGCAGTCAGAGAAAAAAAGAAGAGTAGCAACCATAATTCAATGCCACAAATGTGAATGAATACATTTGGATTGAACCCCCAGACATTTAAAAGCCAAATCACTTCAAGACCATTGCCTGAATGAAGGCATCTTGACAGTTCTTTTTTGCGTCCCACCTTTGAAATTTTTGAATTCCTATCCCTTATGTCTCATTTATGAAGAAACCTGGAAACTGATAAGCACTTGCCTGTCTTATTCTTGAAAGTCTAAAATCAAAAAAGTTTCAAGAAAATGATTTTCTTCTCACTCAAAAACTGGTAAAAGACTTGACTTTGAAGATAAACACATTTTCCCCTTTCCATTTCTCAACAGTATAGATGAAAAGGGCCAAGTGATTCGTATCAACCTTAATAATGCAACCAGAGACACTATATTTGACGTACCTGCTGAAAAAGTAAAGCCATTTTACGCTGCTCTCAAGGATTATGTTGATCTCTTGAACAGTACAGATAACAAATATACCTACAAAATGAAACCAGGTAAATAAAGAAACTGTTTACTTTAATCAAAAGGCTTTTATTAACATTGCTTGCATGAGCCAAAAGGCTTTCATTAACAAGAATAACAAATATATCCTCTGTTCTTTTCAGTCCTATATAGCTTTAAAGGGATTTGGAGCTTTCTTTTCTGCCAAATACAAAACTTGTTTTTCTGGAAATGCATACTGAATTTGAATAAGTTTTAATAATGTGTTTGTCATTTCATGGTAGGTGTGCACACAAATAGAGAAACCTGAACAAAGTTTTCTTGCTTACTTCCAGTGGCACATCCAAATGCTTGCTAACAAGAAGGCATGCTTGGAAAATGTCTTTGTCAAAGTAATCCCAATTTTGCACTAAGAAAATGTTTATTATATAGCATGACTTCATCATGTGAGCAAAGCACATATTTTTGCTCTCTAGCTTAGAACATCTTCATCTCACCAACTGTTGTGACCAGAGCTTGAAAAAATTATTGGTTTGGACTACAATGCCCAAAATTCACCTGGATTCTGGGAGATTGATTCTGGGAGATGTAGTCCAAACAAATTCATTTACCAAGTTCTGTTTGAGGCATACTAAGCACTCAATAGAATTAATAGAATTTCAGTAAGGTGACAATTAAGTCAAAAAGTTGCATTGGCGGGTTCTGTGTTGTCACCTTTCTGGCAGCTATATTCCTTATTTACCCCTCTTTGTAGGTGAAATAGTGGTGTTTGACAACTGGCGCTTACTTCATGGTCGGCAGAGCTATCAGTCCGGAATAGAAATATCTCGTCACCTCGAAGGTGCCTATGCAGATTGGGATGTGGTCATGTCACGACTCCGAATTCTGCAGAAGAATGTTCTGAACAGAAAGCAATTGTGAAGGTTGGGCTACTGGAGCTTTTCAGCCTGTTTGGGGGGGGTGGGGTGGTTCTTCCACAAATGCCAGTGAATCAAGTATGATTCCAGTGATTTGGGGAAAATTTCTGGCTGACATTATTGTATCTGTTCTATTGAAAACTTGACTGATTCTGATTAACACTGGTTTATAACCACAGTACCATGTAGATGTTCTTTCATACTGACTAATAAATTAACAACTTCCTAGTTTTCAGGGAGTTGTGGCCAATAAAGCTATAAACCTTAGCATCCAGTTGAAGAGCTGTGCTTTCACAGGCACGGTGGCAAATAAGTCAAAGCAACTGGGCATTTTTGCTCCCTATTTAGTCCAATATTCTTTTTTAATTCCTGATAGAAGGAATGTTTAACCTTTCAGATTTTGAATTACAGGTATTGTTATTTTTTGTTTTAAATTGACTTTATTGTACACCACACTGAAATCATTGGATATAGGACAAGATATTAAAAACTAATCAATTTTTAAATAGCTAAACTTCCTATCACCCCTCATCGTTGAGTTGAGTCTGCTGACTAGGTCTGAAGGGAGTTGTAGGCCGACACTGGGAAGGCTACATTCCCCACTGCACCCTATTTCAAGGTTGTATTGCTTGTTTTCTGGAAATAAGGACATTTTGTCAGCCTTTGGGGAAAATACTGATCTTTTTACTGTTCCTCTATGTGTTTGTATGGTTTTATGCTTTTAAAATATTTTACTTCTGGTTTTATTGTTGTCATTTATTTTACCAGTGTTATTTCTTGGATTATATTTGAAGACCTTTCCCAAATTGGTGGTTTCCTGATGTTTGAGACCACAACTCCCATCAGGTCTAGCTAACATGGCCTATGAAGAATCATGGGAGTTAAAAACATTTGGAGGACAACAGGTTAAGGATAACTGTTTCACTTATTCTGTTTTGCTATTTATTATTACGTCAAGCTGCCACGTGGATAAAAATGATAAAATCAGCATTGTAATGGTAACAACAATATTTAGAAAATCCTTCTTTACATTTTTAAAATGGCATGTGTGAATATTCCCATCTATTCTATATCTTCTAGAAAAGTAAAGAATAATGTAAAAAAAACAAGCACTTTTTAAAAAACAAAATGAAATCTACATAAATGTACAACAAATAAATCACATACTGTGCAAAAGAAATGCATGGCTTCTATTGGTCTGCCTAGATAGAAAACCTAATTGTATAGTATAGAATCTGAAATACTTTTCTTGTGGGTATCCTATTGATGATCCTTAGGTTGAAATCCTATACTTCAGAAATGAGAGAGAGTCTTTCAGATGTTTTGGGAGTACACTTTCTAGCAACCCTAGCCACCACAACAAGTGCCAAGGAATACTGTAGTTGTAGTCCATCAACATCTGGGCAACCACTTGATTCCTGCTAGGGAATTCTCCCAAAAAATAGCAGAGCATCCAAAAAATATAAACAGGATACTTAATTGAGCAGTCAGCTCACAGCAAGCAGAAGGTGAAGTATTGTGGCTGTAAAAGAATTCTTGAGCTTATGAGGCAAAGATGCAGAGTTCAATCTTTAAAGTTTCAAAAAGTTTATTTAAAAAATATAAGAATTGCATTTCTTGATAGAAAAGAATTGAGTCTAAGCTTCTCTCTAACTCCATTATTTCTAAGTTTCAAAAAGAGGAAAAACTCTCCAAACATTACATTTCTTCAAACACACAAAGTAGAAAGAGGTCTGTATGCAAAGGCAGAAAAAGGTAGAACTGAAACCATTCGGTTTCAGTTAGAAAGTGGGAGGAGAAAAACAGAGAACAAATGGATACATTAACAGACATTCACGAGCCTGTGAGAAAGGGGTTCCCTCAGCCTAGCTTAGTGCTAACTGTTCCTTATTGAGGACTGCAGACTTCAGCAGTGTGGGGTTGACTTCCAACAATTCCCACTTCTTCATACACATTAAGTGGGAATAAGTTGTACTGAATTTTGTTAATTCTGATTACAATGGTTCTGAACCTTCCTAAAGCCGTGACCCCTTAATACAGTTCCTCATGTGGTGGTGACCCCTAACCATAAAATTATTTTTGTTGCTACTTCACAATTGTAATTTTGCTACTGTTATGAATCGTAATGTAAATATCTGATATGGAGGATGTATTTTCATTCACAGGATGAAATTTGGCACAAATACCCAATATGGCCAAATTTGAATACTGGTGGGGATGGGGGGGGGCGTTAATTTTGTCATTTGGGAGTTGTAGTTGTTGGGATTTATAGTTAACCTACAATCAAAGACCATTCTGAACCCCACCAATGATAGAATTGAGCCAAACCTCCCACACAGAACCCCCTTAACCAACAGAAAATACTGTGTTTTCTGATGGTCTTTGGCGACCCCTCTAACACCCCCCTCGTGACCCCCAGGTTGAGAAATGCTGGATTAGATCTTCACACTTTCAAGTCAAGATTGTGCCCTTCAAGTACTGTTGAACTGTAATTCCCAACATTCTTCACTGTTGTCTCGGTTTTTGTGGGGGTTGAATTTGGTTGAGCAAAAGAGGTTCTCTTGGCATCGTAAGTGATATTGTAGGATATAAAATGAAGTGGGGCATTTATAAGTGGTACCTTTTTCACACTAAAAAAGTAGATGAAACCTTCTTCTTTGAACTTTTACCACTGATAAGTTTAATGGTTGTGTTGACAGTAGGAGAGCATTTTCACTCAGCCTTATTCAATATGAAGCTGAAAGTCAATTGCTATCCCCCAAGTACCAGTGCTACACTTCTCCAATTAGTCTCAATAATTTATTTAGTTGAAATGTTTTTGCCCAGTTCTTCAGGCAAGAGGTCTCTGAACATGGCTTACATATGTTCTATAAAAAGAAATGCTGTTCTTTAATCTTCAATCAGCTACTTATTGGAGAAAAGTGTTTCTCTCCTGGTTACCGCTGTGAGAAGCTCTTTCATGGAAAATTTGTCCCATGCTGCTGATCTGCATGCATTACCTGAAGAGAAGAACTAGCAAGATGATATGCACATGTGTGAATCATGTAGATAAATTCTGTCTGGGAGGATTAGCATCTGTGTAGGAATGATGTGTTACGTGTATACATGTCTCTGTGTTTAGAGTAACAACACCCTCTGCTGGTATGCAGCCACTGGGAAGTTTCTCAAATGGTGAGCCAAAAAGAAAAAGATCTCTCATTGCTGTAGTAAGCCAGTCCAGTGAGAAAATCTTCTATGGGTAATCTTCAGTATACATCCCCCCCCCCCCCCCCCCGGTTCATCAAGTTGAATTGGCAGGCAGGAGTTGTATTAGAACCTAGACTGAGAATGTAGGCTAGTTTCTGAGAAATATTAAATAGTGCCTTTCTCTTCCTGCTTTGAATTTTGGCACCACATGAGAGTCTGATGTAATACAGCAGAAGCTGATGTGACATTTTGTCAACACTGGCTTTTAATTGCTACTTGATCCTTTAATGCTTCCTTTCTTTTCTGTCCAAGAAGTTGAACATTTCAGATGGTTGTGTATTAAACCTGAAATCCAATGGTCTTACTCATTTAACTTTGAGTCCAGATTCTTATGTTTACTATGCGGGTGCTTTCTATCAAAATCCTTCCGTCTGATACAGCCACTTCATTCTGGAAAACATTTTCTCCTTTTAACTCTGGAGAATTCTGAGAACTATTTTGTTTCATGTGTTCATGCATTAATAAAATCCAGATTGGAACCAATTAGCCGATTGGATTCTTGCCTGCTTGCCAAACCCATTTCTCACTAGAGCAATGTCCTGCACAGATGCAAGATTGAAGATAACAGCGGAAGAAGCGAGTTATTCAGAAGTAATCGTCAAAAGGTTTCAGATATATGCTTTTGAGTTAAGATTTCTATTTGTCTAATTGGAAAACTATGAAGCTACATAAAGGGTCATTCTGGCAAAAAGTTTTAAGAGGATGTTTTGTGCAGTGCCTCTCCTTTTACAAGAATCCGGTCATCTACTGATGCTCTTTCCCAGTGGGTTTTAGTAACAACACTAGCTGTACTCGCCAAGCATTGCTGTGGACAACTTTTCCTCCCTCTTTCTCTCCTTCTTTCTCTCCTTCCCTTTTTTTTCTTTCCTTCTCTCCTTCCTTCCTTCTCTTCCTCTTCCCTTCCTTCCCCCCTTTCTTTCTCTTCCTCTTTTTCCCCTTTCTTCCTTCTCTACCTATTCTTGGACTGTAACTCCCAGCAGTCGTCCTGGTCAATATATATACCTATCTACCTATCTCTATCTAATCTGTCTATCTGGAGGATTGCTGAGAGTTGTAGTCCAGGAATAGGAAATTGGAAATATGCAGGGATTGGGATGCTCTCAAAGAAATCTAAGGATGAGAAAGCTTGCATCTCAGAAGCAGTGCATTTGGATCATCCTCCTCTCTTAAAGGGCCTGGTCTAGGAGATGCTGGGAGCTGTGGTCCAAATGAGAGTGTGGATATGCTATTGTGTGTTTTGTTTGCCAGGGGGAGTCATCTTTGTGCATGCACTGTAGTGTCTTTTTGCTTTTTTAACTTTTAACATCCTTTCCGCTGTGTTTTTCAGTGTTTTTATGAGTGATGGTCACTCGTTGGCCTGATAGGTGTATTGTGTCCAAATTTGGTGTCATTTTGTCCAGTGGTTTTTGAGTTATGTTAATCCCACAAACCAACATTACATTTTTATTTATGTAGACTAGCCATCCCCTGCCCACGTTGCTGTGGCCCAGACTGTGTATATGTGTTTTGTGTGTATATATGTGTGTGTATATATTTGTGTATATGTGTGTTTAGTTTTGTGCATGCATTGGCATTGCAATGTAATTTTGGGTTTTTTGGGGTTTTTTTTTGCTTTTTAAGTATTTTCCGCTGTGTTTTTCAGTGTTTATGTGAGTGATGGTCACTCGTTGGCCTGATAGGTGTCTTGTGTCCAAATTTGGTGACAATTTGTCCAGTGGGTTTTGAGTTACGTTAATCCCAGAAACCAACATTACATTTTTATTTATATAGATTGCAGCAGGATTTTTTCTCCAAATACTACGCAATAGCTTCATGGTAGAGCTAGGAAATTACCCCCACTGCATTTTAATGACCCCCCCCCCCCCATTCAATTTGTCAATCAAATTGCTGGGGTCTTTTAGAAAACCGAGGTTATCTGATCCTGTAACATCTATCTCTTTTCTTTTCTTTTCTTTTCTTTTTCTTCTTTTTTTTTTGGTCTGTCTTGATTTATATTCCATCTCTTTGCTCAGCCTAGAAGTTATACAAAATGTACATATAAAAACAAAAAGTTAGAATATTAAAATTTACAATGTAACTAATAATATTATTAAAACACAATTGGCTAGTATCCTGTTCAGTATTTACAATTCTATGGGTTACCGTTAGGAACAATGTAAATATTGAAATTTATGGCACAGTGGCAGAGAGTATGCCTCCAAACTTACTTTGCATTTTAAGAGACCACGGAGGCTGGCACTACCAGGAACAAAAAACAACAGATGTTTTAGATCCGCTTTTTGTACTGAAGTGTATCACTGTGTATAGGTGTGTAGTCCTTGCCATAGTAATACTCCCTTCATCCTCAGGACACACACCATTGATAGTGTATGTATAGTCAGTGCCACTGCCACTGCTGCAATCTGGAATCCCTCCAAAACAGTTACTAGTGTTGGAAATAGCAACTTTCTACAAGCCTCCTATACTAGTTATTTGTTATGTATATACCACACCTGGAATAATAATAATATAATACAATAACTTTATTTTTATACCCCGCCTCCATCTCCCTGAAGGGACTATATGCAGGCCAAAATCCCATTGGCTCATAATTACTAAGTGCAATGATTCCTACGTAGTACCAGGGGAAAGTGCGACAGTTGGAGGGCTGGGCTAGGAGGCTAATGCCCTTAGACTATTAAAAGTGATTGAAGTGCCAGAAAGGGATCATGCTAAAGTGCAGGAGCTAGATGGGTTGGGAGTACTGTGTCTAATTCTGGGCACCGCAATTTAAGGGAGATATCGACAAGCTAGAATGTGTCCAGAGAAGAGCGACTAAAATGATCAAGGGTCAGGAGAACAAGCCCTATGAGGTGCGGCTTAAAGAGCTGAGCATGTTTAGCCTGAAGAAGAGAAGGCTGAGAGGAGACATGATAGCCATGTATAAATACGTGAGAGGAAGTCACAGGAAGGAGTGAGCAAACTTGTTTTCTGCTGCCCTGGAGACTAGGATGTGAAGAATGGCTTCAAACTACAAGAAAGGAGATTCCACCTGAACACGAGGAAAACTTCCTGACTATGAGAGCTGTTCAGCAGTGGAACTCTCTGTTTCGGAATGTGGTGGAGGCTCCTTCTGTGGAAGCTTTTACACAGAGGCTGGATGGCCATCTGTCGGGGGTGCTTGCGGTTTTTCTACTTCTTGTCAGGGGGTTGGACTGGATGGCCCACGAGGTCTCTTCCAACTCTATAATTCTATATAATTGTGATGCCTTACTGTAATGTATGTATATATTGGTGTGCATTTTCCCTTAACTTTGTCGTTAGAGGTTGTGGGAGGGACTACAGACCATGTGACTCTGATCATGGAATGTTCAGAGCGAGACTCCATTTTGGAATGCGTTTGAATCAGAAGTCAGTTGGAGTCAGTTAAATCAGTTGAGGCTTGAGTCAGTTTGAGTCAGAAGTCCGTTGAGGTTTGAGGTCAGTTAGAGCAGGAATATAATCAGTTTGCTGCAGTGAGATGCTCAGCTAATATAGGAGTCTGTTTGCAGCAGATATATAGTACAGTATAGTACAGTTTAAGTATTATCCAGTTAACATGAAACCAATAAGCAACGTACCTGTATGTTAAATACGTGAAGTTTCTAAGTAAATCTACTATGTCAACTTTTAACGAAGACTCTTCTCAGGAAGATCATACTTAAGATGTTTTTTCAAAGGTTATGATATTTACACATAGTGTTGAGAGAGACGTGTGTGAATGCCAATTAATCTCCAAAAGGATCACGCTTCCAAAAGCCTAAGGAGATTCCTAGTTCTCCCAGTAGCTAGTGCTATAAATCAGTAGCTTGGGTTTTTGTCCTGATATCAACTGTAACCATTGATGTAAGAAGAAGTTTTGCATTGAATGTCAACTCGATTTTTCTGCAAAGAGGCAAGGGTCTGAGTGAACACAATTTGCCCACTTGACTCTAGAAGGAGAAAAATGGAGCAGGTGAACCAAACGTTAAGTTTTGCCTGGAATTTGAGAAGGAACTGACTCACGTCAACCTACCTTTAAAGATACTCCAGACAAGATATATCAAATACATTGATAACATGATGATGCTGCTGCTACCAATTTGACAATTTCTCCAATATCTCAGAAAACCTTAAAAGGCCTCTCTTTACTATGTGGAGGGTAAAAGAGGATTTATGAAGTGCCAGGTGTGGAAACCTATGCAAATCTTCAGGGAATGGAAACAGAATCATTGTCTTTCCAAATAAGGTTTTTATGCTTCTTAAAAAAACTCAGAAACACTTGGGTGAGAGTTTCAAATAGATCAAGTCTCTGAAAGGACCTCACCAGAACAATCTTGGTCAAGGAGAGCAACTTGTCACCCCAAGATCAGAGCTATTCAGTGTCAGGAATAATAATATCATAAAGAAAATATTTTATCAAGACATTTTCATCTCCACTTTTTCTCAGAATGACTTTTTGTATCCTTTGAAGATACTCTAGGATTTCTTTTGAACTGGAGCAATGGAGTCAAAGAATAAGAAAGGGGAGTCCAGGTAAACATGAAAACCCACAGGGTGGCCTTGGACAAGTCATACTCTCTCAGCCCCAGAGGGAAGCAAAAACAAATGCCCTCAGAATAAAGCCGCCCAAGAAAACACCCAAAAAACAAAGTTTGTGAACCCCAAGAAAGCAAAGGTGCCACTCTCTCAGCCGGCAACATGCACCATTTTGAATTTTGGACCACTTTAGATTTCTGGATGAGGGAGCCGTACTGGTCCTGTGCTTCTATCTGTATCGTTTTGGCGGGGGGGGGGGGTGCAGCTATGGGCTTATTGAATAATTACAAACATTCAATTTTGGAAACTAAAAAAGGTCTGGGATATGACATTCTACCATTGGAAGCCACCAGGGCAAAGTCCCACTCTCAGATTCAGAGGAAGGCAAAGATGACAGCCTCCCTCTTAAGAAGCCTCCCAGCATGGGCGCCCCATTCTTCTCCATTTCCACAATTATTTCCCCAGGGCCACCCCTCTCCAAAGACCCCCTCCCACTCTGATGTCACAATGCCTCCTTCTCAGGAGCCCCTCCCTCTCCTCTTCCTTCCTCTGATGTCACAAAGCTGCCTCTGATATCAGAACGTCTCCCCAAGCGACTGAACTGTTGCTGCCTCTCAGCCCCTTCAGTGCTTTCTCTTGCCTCCTTCCACTCTCAGCCTCTACCTCATTGCTTCTCTGCTCTGCCCTGCCCTTTGCCACTGTCCTTGACCTCTCTTGTATTTCCTGGTATTTGTATTTGATTCTTGTTTATTGGTTTGCTTTTTCTTGTAGTAATAGTATTTGTTAGTAGTAGTAGTAGTAGTAGTATTTTTTATAATTGTTTGGCTTGTATCTTTTTATACTGTTATTTGTTTTTATTGAATGTGTTGTATTTTTGAATATATTTATTGGTAGTGTTTCTTGTTTGTTCTTATTATCAAGTTTGTCTTTTTAAGTAAAGGTAGTAG